TATGTACTTTATTCATTTACATTAAATGTCATAATGTACATCATTCTGATTGGAGCTAAGGGCATACACTATCTAACATGGTTCGCCCCCTCCTATTTTATAATCTCTAATGGAGTTATCTCTTAATCTAATTAGAGATAGGCCTTATTTTCTTATAAGATTAGGTGCTCCATACCCAGATCCAAACCTAAATTCGCCCCATGTCACATGACAACTTAAGCTATCATGTGATAGCTTAATTAATCATATTAATTATGGGCTTTAGGCCCATCACTTATAAGGCTCACGACCCAAGGGTGTTGCATGGCCAACTTAGATCTGATTTGTATGGCGTGGGACCCTACAATGACCTCACAAAAGTCCACACGGGATCAGCTTAGCCCCTGTGAAAAGGCCTGGCCGAATTCACTACTAAACAATGAACTCCTGAGCAYATCACCATGGGCTCAAAATGGGCACAACATTTACACTTAAATGATCATTGAATTCAACCATCCTATGAAGACCATAATGGACTTAAGTAAGACAAAACCCATCAGGTAATCAAACACTGCCTGATAGAGAAGGACCTCTCCCTTGGCTGCAAGGTGCAGTGTCACTCTATCTGCTCAGATGGATCCTAGGAATAGTGTTACCTCTCTCTTTCTCTTTTGAGAAAGGTATAAGCATGAACTTACTATTATAATGGAGGGGGAGATTAGTTTCTTTATTTTTGTTGGTTCATTCAGCATATTTTGGCATTTTATTTAGGATCAGATATCCAACATATTAATGGGGTAAATTCAAGCCACAAAATATTAGTTTTATTCCGTCTTTGCATGAATTTGTCTGTAGATATTATAGGATTGTGAAAAAATGATTTTAGGAATTGTTACATATTCTAAAACTAGTAATATTATATTTAGGCTGTGTTTGATGCGGAAATCAACAAAACCATATATTACCCCTTCCCCAAACAACATGCTCAGTTGCTTACACATCAAGAAGGAGAAAAGAATAAAAAACAGGATCCAACTTGTTCAATTAATGGCTTGGTACCAAACCATTGAATTATCTGAACCTTGCAGGCAGAATGGAGGGGTCAATTCCATTGCTAGTTCAAATTTATCCAAATCACGACCTTAATATTATTATTCTCAGCTTTATCTTATTTTGCTTTTATCTTCTAGGTTACTTGAATTATAGGTTCAAAGTACTGCTGACTCAGGAACAGTGCAAGAAAAAATTGAAGGTTTGCAATCATCTGTATATATTGCATTTTCAAGTGATACCTTTGGTTTATATGCTACTGATATGGGTTACTGGTTATTATGTCTTTGGTTTTGCTAGATATCTTTGGATGTTGAACATATAAAATGCAGCATTTGCTTAAACATATGGCACAATGTTGTAACTGTTGCCCCTTGCCTCCACAACTTCTGGTATGCATTTTATGTTATGCTTTTGTAAGTAGCACATTAGTTTGTTGTGTAATTCACAACCTTATTCTATTGTTGCTTCTAGCAATGGATGCTTCTCAGAGTGGTTAAGAAGGTCCCAACAAAAGCAGTCAGATGTTCTTTGTCCTCAATGCCGAGCAGTAGTTCATTGTGTTGGAAGAAACCATTTCTTGCATAATGTTGAAGAGGTAATGTTCTTATGCTTCATTAAGAAAACTAAGAGTTGCATAAACTATTTATTTATTTGGTTGATTCTTGCTATCAAAACTATTTCCTGTAACAGTAGAAGATCCAGAATTTTCACTGGCCATCTTGAACACCCAAAACCGACCCAAAATAACTCATCAAGAAGGGCTAGTAGTCACAGCATATCAGAAAGTTGCCTCACAACAGGCCTGTACTACTAACAGCAACAATAATACTCAAGCTGTACTGCTAAGGTCAAGAAAAGGAAAGATAAGGCACAACTGAGCTCTTCTCCTTCACCAATCTGATCAGTCGATGCACTACCTATGCCAATAACATTAACATATTTCTAGGAAGATCACATCATTGTTTTAAAGGCTTAAGCCTTGAGGCAAGGTGCAGAGATTTTGCCTCAAGGCTTAAGCCTCACAACTTTGTTAGAGTGAGGCACTAGTCTCAAGCCTCAAGGTGTGAGTCGTAGCTTGAGGTGTAAAAAGGTATAAATCTCAATGTTTGTTTAGTGATTTAATGCAAAAAATATATTTTATGCATTTTTATAGTTCAAAATATATGGAAGAAGCACTTCAATAATTATGCGCCAAATAAATATAAGAGTAAAATGAAAAACCAATAGGGGAAATCAAGTTCTATTAGTTTCTCTTAGTGTTTTAGGAGAGTTCAATGCAAAAAGGGCCAAACAAGTTCTTAGTTTCTCTTGGATATATCAAGTGATTTTTCTTATTGTTCTAAATCTAACATCCCAAGTTTGTTATTTTTCTCATTTCTTTTCCTAATGGATTTATTTTATTTTTATTGATTTTTTTTTGCATGGATCAAATTAACTAGGTTATTTTGTTTCTTCTAAACTATTGAATGACCATAAATCTAATATCCAATTATATTGATGAATCTTCATATTTTTCCTTTCTTCTAAATTGGTCAATTGAATTATTTGAGAATTTTGCATTTTGAAACATGAAATGTAAAATGTTTATAAGTGTTAGTTGATTCGTTATTATTTTATTTAATGCTTAACCGTTGAAACTAATTGCTTATAAATTTTTATTTTATGGATAGTTATACCTTCTATCATTCTAACTTGGTATTTTATATGTTATTTTTATCAATATATAAACTTTAATTAATTTTATTCTTAAGCTTTGAGGCTTAAGCCTTGCAATGCCATGAGGCTTACCACTTACGCCTCACCTTTGTGGGCCATTACGCCTCAACTATGCCGTTAGCCTTTTAAAACCTTGGATCGCACCACCACTAGCATAGCAAAGGGAGATATACAATAAACCTGTTAAGAGTCCTTTCACTGCTACTAATCAGATTGGGAGAGACAAAACATAGGCAGGCAGATCTGTACACACATATCTGATCGGAACATGCAATCCAAAGGATGAAACTCACATCCAGGCACCACTGGAACACCCAACAGCTTTCAGATTGGCTGTAACAGAGTGCATACCACTTGTAACACAAGAACAATCACAAAACTTTCTGATAAAGGACTGTTCACATTACACAGCTCTGAGAATGAATCTGCTTTGGTTATACAACCAAGGACTAAGAATAAATAAGAGAAAAGATGAAAATCTGTGATCAGATCAAGTCTTCCTTGGTTTCTCTGTCCTACAAATGAAGAAACTCAGAAAAACAAGAAGAGAAAGTGCAGAAAAAAGTGTACTTGATCAGATCTAATGCTCTGATACCATCTTGTAGGCTAATCTACAAGGAAAAGTGTAAAAGTCAAAGAKACAAGAGAAGAGAATGTTTTGGAGAACCAAAAGTGAGAGGGCGGCAGCCCCTTTTATTATTTACAATAGGGCAGCCATAAAAGAGGGCAAAAACACTAATCTGCCCTTGACACTAAAAACATAACAGAAAACATACATAAACTACATTATACTATTTGAAGTCATTGCCATTTGTCTACTTGCTTTGATTTCTTAAATTTTTATGTGGTATATGGACTTATTGTGTCTCACTGAAATTGGTTGTATGATTGTAACTAATCGATCTGTTTTTAGGAGATACTTCAAAATGATTTGTCATTACAACGCACCGGTGAAGAAGTTGAAAATTTGGATTCATCTGCATCAATTAAGTCAAATCTTGTGAGTTGTTTTGTCCTTTTAAGTATTTGAAAAATCATTTAGTGATAGAGAGCATAGAATTCTCTGTTCAATTAGATGTAAAATGGTTGTCTTTTCTTTTCTTCTTTGACATTAAATCACATGATTTTATCAGTTTGTAATACAGATACCAAGCTTTACAATGTTTCCCTTGTATATGCTTCATAAATAACATTAACATAGTTGATAAGTRTTTTTTTTATTGTTTCATTTGGGAGAAAAAGCCTGAATTGGTTTACAAATTAGTTGGTTTAATTTAACTCTACATTAATTAAGGGAGTACAAGGAGGGCAAGCATAGTGAGGCAGTGAACAAGTAGAACTGTAAAATGTACAAATTCTCTCTTGGCAATGCTACAGTTAAATTGGACCAAGAGGGTCATAATTTAGACTTGGTTTGCACCATCCACTGATTTTAGCACTAGCTACAAATTACCATGAAGAGATAATTGTGTCATAAATATATCCTACAGTGGAATCTTTTTGAAACTTCTCCTTGGTAAGAGAGCATTAGTTGGTGTTAAATGAAATAAATAAAATAATGGAAAGGCATCTGTGAATTTTTGGAATCTTTTTCTTGCTAGCATTAGCACTGTTACATAGAGGCTGGTACATAAAAAGCAAGGCCAATTGGTAGCCTTGCTTCAAAATCCAGTGTATGCTCTGAATCTAGGGGTAATTCCATAGAATAGTTTCTAGTTTTCTTCTAGCAGCAAAGAACTACTAGAAAGTAACACAAGAAAGAAAGAACCATGTGTTTCTCTATCACTGCTTTCAAGAGAAGAAAAGTAGTTATAGAGAAGAACGGAAATTAACTCAATTCAATTGTGCTGTTCTGAGCAGATTTACATGTATATATAGGCTACTAAAGCTGTAGTTGACTCCTAATTAGAATCCTAGAACTCTTAAAAGTATATTCAATAAAATAGTTACTTATAACATAGAAACCAGAAAATGGAAACTGCTAAAATAGAAATCTTTCAAAATAGTAGTTGACTAACAGTTTCCTTAACAAGAGAAAAGGAAACTACTAATTGCAGATATTCTAAAAATAGAAGCTATAAATTTAGAAACTGCTGCCAACTTAGTTCGTCTCATTTTTTAGAAGCTTTGGGATGCTGAAATCTTTCCAAAAATTGTTCTGTTGTTATCTCTTGCTCTAGAGGGCTGTACTTCATGACATTGCCTTGTCTGTAATGAAATGGAAGAAACATCTTGGATGATTAGCATGTTTGATTTCGGAAATATCCTAAGGTAGTCCCTGACACAACAAGGAAAAGGATGAAGAAACTGGAATTTGTCAATTAATGAGTCAAAGGATGCTACTTTTGTTCTCTACAGTATGAAGAATTGGGCCAGCTTGAGCTTCATCTCTTTGTATTTAAAAGTAGGGGATTTTATTTGTCTATTTCTGTTTCAGCTACACCATTTCATGAATGGTGTTGTCTATTTCTTTGAAAGATGTAACACGTGATTTACTCCAGAAGAAAAGGCCAAATTGGTGCCTGTCCCCAAATCGGTGCACCCTCTGCAAGGCTAATGGTGAAAGCTCTTACCACTTACTAATTTCTTGTTCTTTTGTTTCTGATTTATGGGAATGGTTTATTTCTTTATTTGGTTGCAGGTGGATCCCTCCACCAGATATACAAAGCTTGTTTGCCACTTCTTTCCTTAGATGGCCTAAGAAAAGGGGTAGGGTTGTGTGGAGGTGTGTGAGGGCTGCCATTTGTTGGATTATATGGGAAGAGTGGAACTCTAGGACCTTTTCTGATAAGGAAAGGAATAAAGAAGGTATCATTGAGGTAATATTGGTTAGGGTGGTGCATTGGCTGGTCTTTGGATATATTTGCTGATGTCTCTACAGTTATGCTACTGAATATCTGGCTGGAAGTGGCAAATTCTGCTCCTCTTTCATCAGTTGCCTCTCCCTTATGGTCCCCACCAGGCCCAGGGTGTGTAAAATTAAATTTTGATGGCAGTAGTGAAGGTAATCCTGGGCCCTCGAGTGTTGGTGGGGTATTCAGAGATGAGAATGGAAAGGTGATTGCTTTGTTTTCAGATCCCATTGGGAATAGTGACTCTCTCAGAGCTGAGATATGTGCTTTAATGCAAGGCTTATGAAAAACAAAGGCGATAAGTATTAATAGGCTAATTGTTGAAGGAGACTCAAAGCTGGTTACAAAAGGACAATGGACTGTGGAAATATGCAAATGAAAGAAGGGAACAAATGTTTTTGGGCTGTATTGTAATCCTCTTTTCTTTTTTCTTTTTTAGAGGTTCAATTTCAATGAGTGAAGAGGATCGCAAATGCTTTTGCAGATACATTGGCGAAACAAGGGGTGGGAAGGGAACAAATATTTTGGGCTGTATTGTAATCCTCTTTTCTTTTTTCTTTTTTGGGAGAGTTAAGCCTCTTTACCTCTACCCGGATTATTGTAACTTTATTATCAGATGGCGGGTGCTGTTCTCAGTTGATCAGAATTCTGATGTAGCTTCAGCAGTAAAACAAAAGAAATAACAGAAGAAGAAGAGAAGAAGAATGTGAAGAAGAAAGGGGCACAGAATAGAATTGGTTTCTGCTGCCCAGAAATTTAATTTATATACTTCTATTAAAACAATAACACAAAGACACCTATGCCCCTGCCACCCAACACACTCCTTAATCAATAATAACAGAAATACTAATAGGTCCAGTAAGGCCCAGAAATACTAATAAACAGAAACAATAATAGGCCCGAAATAATAACCAAGGTTCAAAAAATTGATACGATACGCCTGTTTACAGGTGTTTCGGGACCCCACTATTTTTTAATGATAAATATGGGTATTAAACTACCCAAAAATCAAATCTTGAAAAAAAATAAAAAAAAAAACATATTTCCGCATGGTTCAAAGTACCAATACGCCTCTGCCGATACGCAGAGGCGTATCGATGCTTTGAACCATGATAATAACAAGTAAATAAAAGAAAAGACAACTGATAATGGCAGGGACTTCACTAAAAACTAGTCTATTTCTCCACATTATCCATTAATAAATTGATTTCTGTTATTGATAAAAAAAATACAGTACACAAATATGTATCCAATAGTATTTTTTTTTTTGATAATTATATGTATCCAATAGTATTCTGACACTCCCTCTCAAGTTGGAGCATATATACCATATTACTCCAGCTTGTTGCATATGTTATTCATCTTGATTTTATGCTTTTTGTAAACAAGTCAGCTAACTCTTTACAACCTAGCTGACAAGGAATAATGGGGAGGTTAGTCACTCTGCAGCCAATAATGTCCACCAGCTCTTCAATGTTTTCCATAACGGATTTCTTTTTAAGTAATCGAGTTAGGGGTTCCACTACTAAGGAATTTCAGGAATAACTTACAAGGAGGTGATCATGAAGTCTGTAGGGGATCTTTTGGATTGAATAAGATTGTTAGAAGCATGCCTACTAGTTCAGTTTATCAATTTGGACCCAGAGGAGGAGGTCTCGAAGTGGGTAAATTTCAAGTGGCAAATGATGAATGAAACCCAAGTTAGAAAGCTCAATGTGGATTTTTTTCTTTTTATCCTGAGGAGTAAATAGGAGGCAGATGCTGTACTAAGATGGGGATCTAATCAGATTAGATCACCATAATTAAGATTGGGAAGGTGGAATCCATTGGTTGAGGCGATACGAGTGTTTAGCTTTAGAAACATTGTGTGGTTTAACATTTATGGCATCCCACTTCACACATGGTGTGTAGTCATTCTTAGCTGTGGGTGATGCATGTGGGAGATTCAAATCCTTTATTCTGTGTCAATTTTCTTCATTTTCTTCCAACCATTTAAATGTGGTACGTCCTTGACATCAAGGCTTAAAATGTTGGTGTAGGTGGAAATGCTGGTCATCGGTCATCCAAATATAAGAAGCATGTCAGAAATGTTGGAAATATCATGTGGAAATATTGTAAAAATTATAGGCATGGTGGAAACATTGTAAAATATACAAAGCATAGAATGATTTTTTATGAAATGATAAAAGTTGCATAGTCACACCTTTTTAAATTATTATCTTGCTCCAAATTACTAAACAAAGCTAAGAAACTAATGTTATAGACAAAATAATATGTTTTGAAGTTGCCCTGTAAACCTTAAGATTTAGATCTTCATGATAGAATGAGTTAAAACAAAATTTAAACTCAGAAAATGTAGATGGTTATAATAGATCAGCCAAATAATCTATTGTACAAACAAAAACTAATATTCAACTTCATGTTTGAATTGAATATTGAGCTATCTCAAAGTGGTAATCATGTAAGTTAGGTGGGCAATAACATTGTTACTCCACATATCTACAATATTGTTATCAATTTATGTTATAATACTATCATCTGTATTCCACATAGTACTGGTAATGTTCACTAGGAAATATGTCAATTTCAGTAAAATTTCATGTTACTACCTGTTGAAGCGGAAATGCAAATGTCATGGAAACTCTCTTTTACTCCACATTGCGCTAGTAGTGTTCACTGGGGAATATGTCGATTTTGGTAAAATTTCATGTTACTACCTAATGAAGCGGAAATGTAAATATGTCATGGAAATTCTCTTTTACTCCACATTGTGCTAGTAATGTTCATTGGGGAATATATCGATTCTGGTAAAATTTCATGTTACTACCTATTGAAGCGGAAATGCAAATATGTCATGGAAACTCTCTTTTACTCCACATTGTGCTAGTAGTGTTCATTGGGGAATATAATCCCAGCTTGTTACATATATAGTTCACTCTCCCTAAGCTTAAGCCTTTTGTAAACAAATCTACCCACTGATCACCTGAGCCCACATGTTCTGTGCTTATCTCTCCAATAAGAACCTTCTCCCTCACAAAGTGGCAATCAATCTCTMTGTGCTTTGTTCTCTCATGAAAAACAGGGTTGGATGAGATGTGGAGTGCAGCTTGATTGTCACAGTACAATTTCATAGGTCTATCCATGGAGA